TCAGAGGAGGTGCTGGATGAGCTGGACCTCAAGAAATACAACACAGCAGATGAGGGGAGAAGAAGACTGATACCAGCTGTGAGCAACTGCAGAAAAGCCCTGTGAGTGTTTAATTATGTCATAATCATTTCATTTGAATGTCCTTTACAAGAATTAAGTTGAAATTATTAAAATACAAGTTAGAAAAATAAGGTTAATAATTTAATTATCATGTGTTTCACTCTCTTTCAGTTTTGCTGGCTGTAATCTCACTGCTCAGGATTGTGAAATTGTATCATCAGCTCTACAATCCTCAGACTCTGTCCTGAGAGAGCTGGATCTGAGTAACAATGACCTGCATGATTCAGGAGTGAAGCTGCTCTCTGAAGGACTGAAGAGTCCAAACTGTCAGCTGGAGATACTGAGGTAATAAAAACATATAAAGGATGATGTACAGCCAGTCATTCATAATGTTGATTTGTGTTTGAGTTAGGGCTGCACGATAAATCGAAATGAAATCGCGATTAGGCAAAAGTTGCAACTGTTGTGCACATCTTGTCAGCGAAGCACTTTTCTGTGATCAGTAGTAAATCTCCATCCGAAGGGCAGAGGGGTCTGGCCTTCGCAGAAGAAATCCAGGAAATCCCTATGGCGGTAGCTGAATAAACAGAAGATTTAACTGCTTTCATTGATTCAACGTGACTAATAAACACACAACTAAGAAGATATATTATTTATCTGAGTTCTTATTATAATTATTATAATTTTCATTATAATAAAGTATATAATAATGCAATGCTAATCAACATAGCCTTTATCACTGCTTAGAATACTATGAAATATGTTGCGTGCCTTATTCTGTGTAAGAAGCCACATAATCTCACAGAAGGATTTATTTGAAAGTGAGTGTGGAGTAAAAACATGTTATTAAATGTGGTATTTTCAGGTGCTTTCAGATGAAGCAGCATTTACTACACAGAGCCATAGTTCACTAAGAAGCTACGCAAACAGCTGTCATTACCGCAAATGATTTCTTCAATTTCATAATCGCGAGATTATACCGTCTGCATTTTTTTTTGTGTAGCTTGTCAGTGAACTACGGCTCTGTGTAGTAAATGCTGCTCCATCTGAAAGCATGTGATGGAGATTTACTACTGATCACAGAACCGGCTTTACTAACGAGATGCGCATGACAATCACATTTGATTAATCGTCCAGCACTAGACTGACTTTTGGTGTGTATCTATAGGTTGTCAGGCTGTATGGTGACAGAGGAAGGCTGTGGTTATTTGTCTTCAGCTCTGAGTTCAAACCCCTCACACCTGAGAGAGCTGGATCTGAGCTACAATCACCCAGGACCATCAGGAGTCCAGCTGCTCAAACACAAACTGGAGGATCCAGACTATAAACTGCAGATACTCAAGTATGTGGGGCAGTAATGTCTCATATGTGTGTCTGTATGTGATTTGGGTTACCTAAGAGTGATTTTTTGCTGTTTGCCTTTGACAAGGGAGCCTTGTTAAAGACAAGGGAGTAACAACTCATTGTAACAAGTGAGCCATAAAGCAAGGCAGAGACAAGGATATAGGTCCAGGATGATTAAATAAACAAAACAAACACGAACCAAGGCATATGCAGGGCAGGAACACAGGCATCTACATCTAACTACTGACAGACCAGCACAGTAAACACAGGGCCTAACATACCCAGGATAACTAACTAGATCAACAAGACAAATGTGAAAACAGTGAGGCACTAATGAGGGAAACCAAAATAACTACAAAAGACAACAACACTAGACAAAGGAAGCAGAACCTAAATCAAACTAAATCAAAAATCAGAGACAGGCAGAATATGTGTTTACTATATTTCATGAACTCTATGTACAGTGTGTGTGTGTTGATCAATGTTCATAAAATTTAATTTGATTAAAAGCCTAAATTACATCTGTTCATCAAGACTTTGATTAAACTGCTTGAATCATTATTACTTTTACAATGACTTTATGTCGTTTTTGGATCTTGAAAACCTGCATAAACTTTCAGTGGAAGTACAGAAATCTCTCATGTTTCATTAAAAATAACTTCATTTGTGTTTAGAAGATGAATTTGATGGATCTGAAGGGTTTGGGATAATATGAGGGAGAGTAAATGATGAGAGAAAAGCAACAAAACTATCATTTTATTTACAGTTTTAACAATCTTCCCTCATATTAAATCATTTTGTTTGTGTGTTGTTTTTGTCTCTGTATAGTTTGGACCATGGAGGACATTTCACAATCACACCAGGACTGAGCAAATGTAAGTTATCTCTCTCTCTCTCTCTCTCTCTCTCACAAACACACACACACACACACACTCATGTTGCGTTTCCATGTTTTATGGATTCATTCCATCGGCGTAATGGTTTTTATTCTGTTCAAACTGTATTTTTTATCCCCTTACCCTAACTCTACCACTCACACAACACTTTCTGCAATTTTAGATTTTAAAAAAAAACTTTGGTCCTCATGGGGACCAAATAATGTCCACACAAGATCAAAATATACTGGTATTAATATCCTTGTGGGGACATTTTGTCCCAATAACATAGGGAATACCTGGACACACACACTCTCCTGTGCATATTTAATGATGTCATAGATGATGTAATATCTCTTCTTGTGTTCAGACGCCTGTGATCTCACACTGGATCCAAACACAGCACACACTCAACTCATCCTGTCTGAAGGGAACAAAAAAGCAACATGTGTAAAAGATCATCAGCCGTATCCTGATCATCCAGAGAGATTTGATGATCGGGAGCAGATCCTGTGTCGAGAGAGTCTGACTGGACGCTGTTACTGGGAGGTTAAATGGAGCGGCTCAGGTCATGTAGGGATTACATATAAAGGAATCAGCAGGAAAGGTGGGATTGACTGCTCGTTTGGATTCAATGAAAAGTCCTGGAGTATGTATTGTTCTGATACAACGTATACTGTCTGGTACAATAATAACAGCACTGATGTATTTGGCCCTTCATCCCGCTCTAATAGAGTAGGAGTGTATGTGGATGAGTCGGCCGGCACTCTGTCTTTCTACAGCGTCTCTGACACACACACACTCACACACATACACACATTCAACAGCACATTCACTGAACCCGTCTATGCTGGATTTGGGGTTTATCCTGAATCTTCAGTGTCTCTGTGTCAGATTTAACAACCTCTTGTGAAGAACCACAGAAGCACTTACTGAGGCCCATTTCCACTCAATGTACGAATTACACTTTGACTTTCAGTGTGGTCTGCTTTTTTCAGTTTGCCTAGTTTGTGTAATGCATGTGTGTGAACCAAGTTGATCAAATTTAATTATGTTAGATTGTATTTATTCTATAATATACATGAGTAGTGAAGATTTGCATCTTACACAATATGATATTTTTGGTATGAGCAATTTAGAACAGAAGAATAAAAAATGTAAAAAAAATAATAATAATAAAACCTTTTTTTTTTCTAAGATACACCATCTCAGTATGTAAAATCATAAAGTGATTCATATACCTTTTCACTGATGAAATTATAATTATGAAAGAATGCTCACATATATGTTGTTATAGTTAAGGACATAACACCTTATGAGTAATGGATTAATTTTGGCAGTTTTTGTGGTTGTGAATTATTTTAAAATGTAAAGTTGTGCTATTTTAATTAACAGTATTTTACCTTGCATTATGCATTCACACTTGAGATGTTAAATGACCTGATCAATTAATATTCTTTGGGATGTGTTGTTTATACAGACAAATAAAAACATACACAGAACTATATATTATTTTTTGGTTTATTTGGTCACAACTTAAATATGAGCATATCAAATTATTTTAAAAAGGTTTTATTCTAAAAGTCTAAATAAATGACAAGTTATAAATTAAAATGACTGAATCAAACTAACTTTATTATGTTGCAGCAGTGGCATCAGATCGGGTGAAAATGGCTCTTTAATGTAACCGCTGCATGGTGTAACACTGGGTTGCTTCATTCTTCATCTTCATTGGTTGCTCTCTCATGTCCTGAATGGATGATGTTGGAGTCTCTGCTGCTGGACGGGGGTCTGTGTGTCCAGGACAGTCTTCTCTCTGTGGGACACGGCTGGGGTCTGTCCCTGTTTTGTCTGAATCATCAGACTGCTGTGAGCCGGGAGTGAGAGACAATGGACACACATGAAGAACAGTTTATACTTCATTTAGGACACACTGCACCACTGCAAGGTAAGATACAAACACACACGTGCATTTGTTTTTCATTATATTAGTGAGGACATTGCATAGATGTCTATTGATTTTCTATCAGATTAATGATATTTTCTTTCCCATCTAACCCAACCCCTACCCCTAAACTTACACATCACAGAAATTTCTGCAAAACACTAGGTTTACAGCAAACACATGATTTGGCTGATTTGTAAATTTGGTAAATTTAGATTTGTTCAAAATAAACCACAAAATACAGCAGTCACAGCATGTATGAAAATAAACTACTGTATTATTATTATTATTATTATTATTATTATTATTCATTCGCAAACCTTAAGTAAACAATGTTTGATAGCAATAGCTTTTCTCTGTTCAAGTCATGCAATAAATCTGACATACGCAACCAGTTAACAGATCAACTATTCACAAATTCCTGTGATCTCCCAGATGAAGGTTTTTAAAGTAACAGTTTGCAGAGGTGGACAGTAATGAAGTACATTTACTTGATTTCTGTACTTAAAGGGTTAGTTCACCCAAAAATGAAAATTAGGCTGCGTTTTACTCACTCTCGAGGCATCCTAGGTGTATATGACTATCTTCTTTCAGACAAATCCAGTTGGATTTCATGGCACTCAGTGGGTGTTGCATTCCTTCAATCCAAAAGACGTGAAATAAAAAGTGCCCTTCCGTAAAAAAAGTGTCTCACACGGCTCCGGGGGGTGAACAAAGGCCTCCTGTAGCGAATCGATGCCTTTTTGTAAGAAAAATATCCATATTCAAAATGTAATAATCACTTTAATCTAGCTTGCGCTCACTGTTGTAAATGGAAGCAGTTCCGGGCGGATGACGTATGAGGTCAGCTTTGCGCATGCGCCGCTCAGAAGTGACGCAGCGCCTGAAAATAGGCTAACTCCCATCAACATAACCAATGTGACCACCTGCTTGCACAGGGAGTGTGCTGGGGAACCCTAACCCATTTTTGAGCGTGATGCTAACGGTCTAATCAGATTCAATGATCTATGCTAAGCTACAGCTAAAAGTGCTACGCCAGACCCGGAGATCGGCTGAATGGATTCGAAAACGGTAAAACTCAACTGTTTCAACTCTCAACTGGGAGTTGGAAAATGAGCCTATTTTCAAAAATAGTGGAGTGTTCCTTTAAGTCTTATACTTAAGGGAAAAACTTAAGGTGCTTTATGCAACTTGGCACAGTACTTTACTTGAGTATTACTTTCACTGGACACTTATGACTTTAACTTGAAAGACAAATATACTTTTCACTCCACTACATTTATATCAAGATCCATGAAGTAGAAAGTCAATATAGCAGCTTTGAAAATCAGTGGGTGATTTTTTTCTTCTCTAAAACATGACTTTTTTTATTTTTCAGAAAGTCTATCAGTAATCACTCTTGTAGGGTTACGTGAAGTGATTTCCCAGCATTTTTTGAACACTGACCAGTTGCAAATGTGATATTTATTTACAATAATGCAATAATAAGAAGTTAATATTGTGGTATATATTAGACACACTATTGTCTGATTTAGCAAAATGTGTAAATGACAATATTACCTAACCTACCAAATATAACTAAGAACTGTTGTGCATCTCCTAACAAAACACAGTAGGTGTTTGACTTAAAGCAGCACTGCACAAACCGTTCTGTGTATGACACCAAAGTACCGCAAGAGCAACTTGAGCGGAATCTGTCCTTCCAGGAGAGATATACAGGCTTGATTGAGATCTGTTGTTGGGTTGTCATAGCCTTATTGGTGATTCTGTCATGGAAGATAGACAGACTTGGTAAATGAAAGGAAATTGTAACTATAATACGACTGTCTTAAGATGGAGGACTTAAGAAGCAATCACCAAAATGTGATTGTGCTGCTGATTTGAGACTGTTTAACCTTTGGGTGATGAGAAAAATTGTGCATTTGTGTATTTAAAGGTATTTGTAATTTTCATCATTTGAATGACCAAAATGTAAAAACAAAACACTGCATAGTTCTCACTGTATGAATTGAATATAAATCGATTCTTATTAAATATTTAACTATTAATGAATTTAATGATATTGGCAACATTTTTATGATTTTCTATAATCTTTGCCCAATAAATATGTATAAACTGGCTAACTAATTACAAATTTTTTCATTTTGCTCACATACCAAAAGCATTATGCAAATGTTCATGTCATTACTGACATCTTTAGTGTTTACATGTGCATTTTTGTATAAATATTTAATTAATCAAATAAAGTTAATTACATATCAGATAGGTTAATTATATAGATCTGACAATTAGTTGTCGATCACAAAATAAAAGCATGAACAAATAAATTATGTGCATATTTAATGTTCAAACGGTAAAGTTTCAAGGGACTTTTATTCTATTCTGCATTTACTCTATTCCAAGCTGTCATATGTTCATTTAAAACTGCAGGTGATCAAACATTACATCACAGTTTAAGTGAAAACAGAGCAACATTAGATGCTCAATGATATTAAATCAGTGTTGATGATATGGAGGGGTTAGGCCTGAGATGTATGACACATGCTGTCTTTAAGCGTTTGTACCACACTTAAACCTTTCTTTTGTAGGATGTCATTTTTAAACACGTTTTGATACTACCTGTGAATTGTTTCATACTTTTGTGAGGGATCTACACAGTCACTCATTGTTAGCCATTATTTTGTCATGGTGCGCAAAAAAGAAAAAAAAAAGAAAAGCTGCTTAAGTGCCAAAATTCTTCTCTTTAATCTTTTTTTTAAGCATTTGGAGCATTAAAGTTTTCTCTCTCTCTCTCTATATATATATATATGTATGCATTGAGGAAGAACTTTAATGATCCAATCCCAATGCACTCATAATCACAATATGGATTATATTTTGGCAGAAATGTATGTTTGACAGAGCGTGAATACATCCATATCAACAGATGTGTTGCATTTTTTGTCATTTATATTGAAAAAAAAATACACTCTGAGTGTTTAGAAAGTGCAAGCGTAGTTTAGAAAACTCATAATAATAAACACTTCTACAGCATATGTACAAATACACGTTATAGATGTACAATACTGGAGTGATTTGCTTGTGCACCACATTTATTCAAGATTAAGATTCCATATATTTTTAAAACATTATAATAGATTGCTCCCGGTTCATTTTACAGTTGAATCTTTTGCAGTTTTGAATGTATATTTCCTTACAAATCTGCCCTGTGAACATGGTACTTTTTTATGGTACCATATATTTATATATCACAACATTAATATACCATCTGAATATATACATCATTAAAAATCAGGGTCCAAAAATTAACACTTGCTGAGTGCCATTAAATTAAATGCAGAAAAAAAATGTTTATAAAACGAAATGATCAGATACTGCAGTGTAAATGTAAATCCTAGATTGATCTAGAATGCCTCTAGGATTGTTTCTTCTTCTCTGTGATATGAAATAGTCCATACATGAATAATACAATAAAATAAAAACTAGAGTATTTTCTAATAATTGTCACCCGTCATTAATAAAAAAGGGAGAAAAATTAAATGAAAATAACAATAAAATAGCTCTTCCAGGATCCAGGATTTGATACATTTGTAACTTATATGCAATGAAATGAAACGGCTAAACAGTCACATACTCATAAGAACGTGTGTGTGTGTGTGTGTGTGTGTGTGTGTGTGTGTGTGGCAGAGCTCTTCAGTGATAAAAGCAATACTCATGAGTTTGTAAACCTTGTGAAGGAGCTCGCTCTGCCCGGAGAGCTGACACAGAACCGCAGCTATGACTTTGAGTTCATGCAGGTGGATGTGTGTGTGTGCGTGCGTGTGTAAAATTTACATATAAAATAAAACAAATGCAAGATAAGTTTTGTTGCAAAAAATCTAAATGGTAAATTGACGTGACACTGACAGGCTGGTAAAATGTCAATTTTGGACCCTGGTAAGCAGCACCTGTACAGTCATTACTCAGGGCTTGTGTCCTCATGATATTGCAGTCCGTGAACACCGTTCGTATCATAACTCTCATATGTTGGTTTCTGGAGCCACTCAGGTTCATATGTATCCGTGCTGTACATAAACGCTTCCTCGAAACTTCCAGGCTTCAGTGTGTTTTCTCCTTCACCGTCCCCGTCCTGCACCTCCAGCTGGACCTTGATGCGCTGGTACAACTCAGGACATTCTTC